CCTACTGAAAGCTTTTCAAGCTCAACACCATTAACAAACACCCTGCTTACAATAATGTACACCTGCTTGACATTTTTCAGTCTGCACAAGTATACATGTACAGATATATGAACACTGCCAGAGCTGATGAATCTTTACAAGACTGACACGAAACAATTTTCAGTGAACCATATCACCCAGCCTTAAAGGCCACTGCTTGATTGTATGACAACACTTATAAACCTTAGCTGCAATTTTGGCATTCTTTTGATGTGACATTCTTCACGTGTGTGAATAGACTGTGTGTGTGTATATATATATATATATATATATATATATATATATATATATTACCCTGTGCTTGTCACCCAATAATGAAATCTCCAGGGATGAGTTTATTTTATTCATGCAGTCAAAGTGAAATTGAATACTCAATTAAAGGCTTATGCTGGAGAATGTTCAGCGCATTTAAAGGCGAACCTCACTACAGCACTATGATACTGAACAGCTTTTTTTCCTCCAAATCGCCATCACCCATCCATCCACATGTCCAACATTCTGTCCACTCCACCGGCTTTCTCCAAACCTATTTCCCTCATTGCTTCCACAGGGCCGTGTGTGATTGATGGGCCTAGGGACACCCTCACTCTGCTGTGTACCTAATCGCAAAGTATAGACTTGCTGTAACGCTCCATTAGGAGGCTGCAGCAGCATGGTGTAATGGTTAGGGAAATTGGCCAGGGAGGGGAAGGTCACTGGTTCAAATTCCCACGGGGTTCACCGCTGCCTTGTCTCAGCTACATGTCCAATTGGAAAAATGAATTGTGACAAGTTGCAGGGTAATGCATGAGCACAAATACCAAATATGATCTTCGGTGGACAAACATTATTTTATTTACTGTAACTGTAAAGGCAAATGTGACCTTCTGCCTTGCCACAGTACTATGACAGAGGCAAAGTCAAATCTGCTATTGACACAATCTGGTAATGAGCTTTATAGTCATCACAGTAGTCTGTGTTTACTTCCAGGATGAGGAACTGTGGGACATTAAGAGTGTCATTGACAGATTTGCTGTGCTTGAATAATTAGGTTTTGTGCACAGCTATGCCACAACCATCAGAAAAATACTAGCAGAAGTAGAAAAGTAGAAGAATCCTAACTTCCTGTCAGGAGGATGAGCTCATATAACCACACAAGTCACTTTAGGGGCAACAAATTGGATTGCTTGTTGGCCCTGTGACTGATGAGTTAATTAAAGTGGAGGGGTATGGAGAGAGAAGTCAGACATTGCTCCATTTATTTATCCTGTATTGACTATATCTCCTTGCACTTCACTGGCTTGAGTAATCGCGGCCTTTCTGCTCAAGAAAACAAGTAAGAGGGAGGAAAGGGACATTGTCATTGTCAAATTTGATTAAAACAGAATTTATCTACAAGATTTAGCAGAATTTGAGTCAACTAACAGTCCGTGAGGAGAATTTTGACTTCTAACTGCTGCATATCCCAAGGCAGATGTGCTGAAAAGACAACAACAAGCAATACACCACATGAGGTTAGAAATGAAATTAATCTTTAGCATGATTTCTCTCTCACTAAGTCCTAAGTCCTCAGAGTTTCTTGAAGTCTGCAGGAAACCATTATGCAACTGCCCCAGTGTAAAATACAGAACATTTTGTGTCCACAGACTTATATCAGGTGAAATTAAAACTTGAAACCTTTGGGACCAAATTTTATACAGTTAATCTACTTTGGATCAGTCCCCTCCCCCCACAAAAGCCTGACAATACAGGACATTAATAGCTGTAATTAACTAATTTTGAGTGCAAGCGACTGGAACAAATAAAGCAAACGACTGTTTTCTGCCAGGGAAGGAATTGGAGAGCCTTAATCGAGCTCCCTGGCTTCATGTTCTGTGCTAGGTAGGAAGGAAGGTAATTTGAGCCCAGCCTTGTGACAGGTGCTGGAGGGGAAAGTGGGGGAGCTTTAGAGCACCGCGAAATGTGGAGAGGCCGCACGGCGAGCGTGCCGAGACGGATTAGGGCTTAGTTTGGGAGTGGGATGTGTGTAGTAGGTGTTGTGCTAGGGGCCCAGGTGTTGCCTGAGGAGAATATGGCACGTCTGCATCCTTTCTCTTTCTACTAGCCACAGCTTATGTACTGCCTGGGAAGAGGAACACAGTGAACCCAGAGAACAAATAGACACTGTTCAACTGAGGCTGGATTTGCATGAGCAATAGCACTCACTCTGCCCCGTCCTTACAGTGACAGAAGAGACAGTTAGACAAACAATCACTGGAGAATCACTAATGATGTAGCGGGACTGATTTGTTTGTGTGTGGATTTGAGTTACCTTTATGTTTTTCTTTTTTTTTGCACTTTGATCAGACGCTCTCCACATGCAAAGAGAGTCTCGGGATAATTTTACGGAAGTGACTGATTCTCTCAGTTCTCACTTGAAGAATCACATAGGACCAGGACTTATCTTTAAGTATGAGATTTGGACTTTTTTTTATTTTTAGTTTATGTTAAGTTAAGTTAAAGTTAGCTATGCAGTGTTGAGACTCAAGGTAAGAAATGTGAAATTTATGAGCAATAGAGATCTATTTTAGTTTCCCTCTTCTTCTCCTTTCCATTATCTCTTTTTCTCTCTTCCTCTCCTTCTCACACTCTCACAGACGTTCATTTACATATATGACAACCAAAATCAGATAATGTAATGGGGAAGTCAGGTGTTGCTGATTTGTTATCAGGCTGTCAGTGCTGGCGAGCTGTGAGAAACTCACCTCAAATCCAAACATCCCATCTGAACCAAATCTGAAGAATTAGAGATAGACAAATCTTTCCTGTTGAATGAAGTTCCTCATTCATTCGCAGCTAAATATTGACCGAGCATAAAAGCTATTTCATTGTTGCAGAGCTCAAAGAGACTCACCCTCTATAAAAGCAGAGGAGATTAAATTTTCTGGACTGTGTGCATCTCTCTGAATTTAAAAAGAGGCCTTGGGGAATGATCAGCTTCTTAAGATGCTCTGTATGGTTTTATAGAAAAATACAAGCTAAAGCCTTCCAGTATGTGGGGTAACAAGCAGTGGAATAGAGTGGACTTTGAAGATGCTGTGCACAATGCCGGTCTACCTGTCAGTCTTTTCTCTAAGTGATCCACCCAAAATCTCTGGCTAAAAATCAGGGCAACTGAGGATGACAATAGCTGACAGGAAGCCGAACAACTGTTCAAATAACAAAGCAATATTCCCAGGTGTCCTATATGTCCAGTAGCAGAACCTTTGCCACTGTCCTACAAACAGGAAAAAAAACTAAACCAACCTTTCCTCGCTGTTTCATGTTCATGGGGAAAATGACCAGAACCAGTTTTTATGAGACCACAAATAACAGATGAATAATAATAAGCCACAAAATAAGGCTATGTGTAATATGTGCTGACAGAAGGTATGGATTTTGATCATAATCTCCAAACGTCTTTAAATCTGGTATCAGATTGCGTGAAAGGGTAAATGAAATGGTAAATGCTGGCAGTTGCAGTCCTACCGCCAGCATTCACTGCAGACTGGGGATTATTTTTCAAAAAGAGGAGCTTTATAGTTCATCCTGCATGTTCTATGTAGTGCAGATGCAAAAAAAAAAAAACAGAACAGTATCTCATGTGCCTTTCTAGAGCAACAAAAAACAACAAAAACTAAGAAACTGCAGACTTCTAATCAGCATATTTACTGAAGATGTCTCAAAGTTTTATATGAGAATACTAATAGAAATACATGATTGCAAATCCAGATAAAAAGGCAGGTTTGTAAGGACAATGTTGTGTAAACAACATTATATCAATGAAGGGATCTCTTTTGAGGGCTGCTGCCAGTTTTGAGATTTAATTTAGTCCATGAGAAGCAGCTACTGGTGGAACATCTCTCTCGGTCACCCTTTACTTGATTATTCCTTTTTATGTGAGTTCAGCAGACTCTAACATGGTCTAGTAAACAAGTTGGGTAACTTTTTTTAATTTTTTTTTTTACAGAAGTCTGAAATTTACTCACTCACTCACCAATTCCTGCTTATTTCAATATATAGCTGTTTGTAAAAATGATGACATTTTAGATATTAAATACACATGGATGATTTCATACAATCTGTCACATTAAAATATCACCTGCTTGGTATGACATTTTGTACCTCTCTGCCTACCACAGATCTGCCTGTTACTGTTAGGAAACAAGGACTTTATCCATATTTCCTAGTAATTCACCCTTGAAATGCTTAAGCAAGGGTTGCTGTGCTCCTGCATCTAGCTCAGAGGAAATTGAATCAGTTATATTAATCCAATTTCAGGAGCTTTCGAGGTTGACAGAGAAGGATATTATTTGAGTCTCGAGCAGTCTACGCATTTCATTCCACAACAGGGTGTAATAAAGTTAAAAATCACAGAATGTCGCTGTGCAATTTCCACTTTGACATGTTTGAGCTGCTTTGGGAACTCGGTCACTGTGCAGACATGTGACACACATTTAGTCTGTATATACATACGTTATATACACAGACTGATAGGAAACACACAAACACACACATATTGGAAAAACACAGAAAAAAAACCAACTGAAAACTTAAGAAGAAGCCCAAGAGTTATCACCTAAAACCCTGGTTTGTACTTGTTTGTACCACTTTATATTAGATCAGATAATTAGATAAACCAGAAAAACTAGAGGCCAGAGTGACATCCAATATGATGTGACTGAAAAACAGCCCATGTCAGTACAATATCCAATTTATAATGATATGAAACAGATGGGAAACAAGCAACAGTCTGCATTTTCGAAGCTGTAACCAGCAAATATTTGTACAGAAAACTTGATACAACACTCAATTTAGATTTATCTAATTCGAATCGACTAATAAACTACTTTTTAAAAGTTTTTCACACATTCCAGTGATCACACAAAGTATCCTTAAAAAGAGCAGCATCACCATTACCTTACAATAATTCCGAAAGAAATTATATGGATGTGCCAGCTTACCCATAGTGCAGTTGGTGGTGAAGTGGGGCTCGATGGTGGCTGTGTCATCCTGTGGGACCCGCTGATCGTAGCTGGCTGAGACCCGAAAAGGCGATCCTCCGTGAGTGCCCAGAGTGAGGTGGACCACTGCCCAGCTGCCAAGGAGAGAAAGCAGGAGCATGGTCAATGCAAGGATCAGACACCATGGCTGACAGAAAAACCCACATCCACTGCGGGGGTTGGGGGTTAGGACAGCATGAGCCTGTTCTGCCTGAGCTCCCAAAGTTTCTGAGGAGGGACTGTCCAGGACTTGAGCAGAAGCCGTCATGGGGGCTTCCTCATTCTCTTCCATTTTGGGAGGGTCGCTTTCTTCCTTAGTCTGGTGATGCATGGCTCAACCTTTGAGCCCACCCCAGACTCTTGTGGAGGTTTAGAGGTGGCGCCTCAGTTGAGAGCTGCGTGTGAAGATGGCACTATGCCTAGACTTTAAAGCCACTACTACAGCAGGTGTGTGGTTGAGAGACAACAACACACCCAGGTCAAGTTCTTGTGTTGAGGCAAGCTGCAGTCCTGCGGTGAATGCTGTCCTCCCTCACCCAGCAGCTGGCTTTGTGTAGTTCAACTGTACCTAATTTTATTAAGCAAATTGTGCTGATTTCTCTTTGGCTCCGAACTCATCAACAATATCTCTCTCTCTCTCTTTCGCTCTCTCTCTCTCCCTTTCTCTCTGTCTCTCTCTCTCCTCCCCTATCTTTTGCCCATCCCTTTATTTTTTACATACAAGTCCTGACACTTTCTTTGCTGGTATCCATACTATCATGCTGTTTTCATTAACAGTGTCCAGTTTCCAAAGACATTTCACATCAAGAGCTCAGATATATAACTGAACAGATTTTGACAGTTTGATGTTACAGTACATCATGATACTTCCTCTCTGGCTCTAAAAACCTGACTGTCTTCTACATAAAACCAACTTACTACTCCATCTTTACTTAAATAACTATAAATGTATTTATTTATAAATAAAAAACAAATTTCTGCAATATAAAAGTCTTTGCTGTCAACACAACTGAATTGACTTACTCAAAGTCAAATTGGCTGAGGACTTGCAATATTCAAGCTGCTGAGCCCTCAGTTGAGCTATGTCATATTTTAGCCATGCTATTTATTTTGGCATTAAATCAGGAAAAGGGGAAAAAAAAGTTCAAACTTAATAAAATGACAATGATTAATGGAAAAGGATTCACTCACAGTGACAACCCACTGTGAATTGTCAGCCAACATCTACATCTCTGTACTTAGCTTTTTAGTCTCTTTTAGCTCATTGTTTAGTTTTAATACTGACTGTATCGTTTTGACTGCTCTCATCAATTCTGTCTCCTGCAGCTGTTATTGGCAAAAAAGCTCAGACAAATCCACTGTACCATACCTGTCCAGCACCAAAAGATAGACAATGATAGTTAGTTTGTACAAAAAAATAGTTAAGGAAGAATGTTGCTAATTGCTAAGTTTTTTCTGGATGTCTAAACATACAACTGTGCTGTAACATGTTAGCAGCAATTTTATAATACTTTAATTTGTCAGGGTTGTGTATCTGTACCTTGCCTTCATAGTGCCATCTATAAATGTCACCTCACTTACACCATTTGCACTCATGCAGAGCCTACAGTCCTGACCAGGTCCTCACCAAACATGCTGTATCCCATCTGATCCAAATAACATTTATCAGGCTTCTTTCATGTTCAGTTTAATCTTGTGGTTTTGTGCAGTTTTTAGTGTAATGGTTTTCTTTTTGGTTGTCCTTTGCATCTGATCAGTCACTGAAACACCAATTTTCACAGATAATGCTTGCTCCAAGTCAAAAGCACTTCCCTGTCTGTTTTTGAATAAAAAGTTGTATAAACTGCAAATTGTGTGCTGTCATTTGTTGAGGACAGACCCTGCACCTTCTGTTATTAGTAGTATGGCTCTTGGACTTTGTTTATGCTCCCATAAAGTCTAACCATCTGGCATTTCCTTACCATGTGGAGCCATGTTGTATTAGACACAACCCAGGCCAGAGCTGAGACCACTGTGGTGTCCACAGGTTAGTGGTTGCGGCCTGTATTTTCAATGTAATCTATCTAACCTATTAATTGTACATAAAATCATATACTCTACATTTCAACTTTGAACTCAACTCAAAAAAGTACAATTATTGCAATATGACATAGTTCCGTGTGTACTCAGTTTTGTTGTAACCCGTATTTGCAAGATGTCCACAATGATATTATTTTTTGATATTAAGTGATATTATGATTAATATTAGGACCACCAAATTGGAACAATTTCACCACAGGTCTTCACCACCCACAGACCCCTGCTGATAACATTATTCTCACAGATCTCAGAAGGTCTCTACCTTTCGATTATGACAAGTGCACTGGGAAACTTCCCGTGTTTATTTTGGGGTTTATTTTGTGCTTTGTTTGGAGAGAACTGTGCTAGTAAGAGTACAGCAAACATAAATGCACACATGCACACACACAAGCCTCCACTACACAAACAGGCTCTGAGCTTTTCTGATTTCCCCAATGTCTCTGCCCTGACTCCACAGGCTTTGCATTACTGTGGCTTTGCCAGCTTCCCCCCTTATGTTTTTCTTTTTTTTTTTTTTTTTTTTAAATGTTGCATTGGCTTTCCTCTATCATCCCCTCTTTCACTGCTCTCACCTTTCCAAGTCCCTTTCCACTAAACCTCCCTCACTCCATCTCTCTCCCTGTCCCACCACCCAGATTTTGCTCAAAGTGGAGGGAAGGTGTTGACCAGATGGGAAGTGATTTTATAGCACCATAGTACATCGTTACAGAACAGCTTTGCAGTGTGGGACCTGCTCTCTGCCATATCCCATAATAGAAAGGAAATGAAGCCCTAGATAAGGGCTGCCACTGTCTCCTTGATAACCTTGAAATGATTCGCCAAATGAGTAATATACATATGGTGTGGCTGAATTCACCACCAGCCCAGCTGAGGGCTGAAATGGTCTTTCTGTTGAATGAGTACTCAGCATGAGGATGATGGGATTGTAACTGTACAGGAATGTTTGTCTCCTTGTGCATAAGATAAACAGAAGCATATGAGCGACAACCCAGTGTGGTGTTAAATACAGATAAACAGGGATGAAAGTGCTCCGTTTTCAAATGTGAAACGCATGAGGAATCAGCAAAATCTATAATTCGAGAGGTGCAGAAGTGTAAACAAAGGAGTTTGTGCCTCGCATTAAATATGCTCAATGTACTGATAATAAAATGGACAGAGCTATACTGCATCCTATCTAAAGTGATCAATGTAAACCTGATCTCTATCTACTCACAGTGTAAAATTGTACACAAGTCTCCTGAACTACTGAATTATTTTTATGTCTTATCACGTTATGTTTGTGCCGGCGCTCACAGGACTGATTAACTGAGCAGTGGATCAGAGCAGAGCTGCCAGAGCATATCACTCAAACATTTAAATATAATTAGCAGCATACCATGCAATGCACAGTCCGAAATATAAATAAATGAAATGAAAATGAATGATAAAGACTCCTCATGCAGGAATTAGATATACATGACTAATCCAAATGTGGATGCTAATAATTCTCATTATGGTCCTTTGTGTCCTAACAGCCTGTTCGTTATTTAAAATCACCTGACCTTTGTTCAGACTCCAGTTTGATGAGAGCTTCTCCCATGATGAAAATGTTTTGTTTTTTTCACCATAGAAAAACAAAAACAAAAAACAGCTCAGGCCAACTAATCTTTGCTGCCAATTGACAATTCTCATTTCATAATGCTATTCATTTATGCTCCCTTAGTGCTCTGCTCTGGCTAATGTTGCTCTTTTAATTTTAATTTAGAGTGTATGTGTGTGTGTGTTAGTGAGGATGTAGGATGTTTATGTCCTAACCACATTAGGGTTTGTTTTTCTTCTGGGTTCTGGTTTGCATTAGCTGTGAGTGTCATCCATCACGACATGCAATTCATGAAGAAAAAGTGTGTTGCGTGGTGGTAATGTTTCCCTAAGACCTTGTTGGACACATTACCAGAGTGAGGTTAGTGCAACTTTCTAACTGCCCTACAGTATATAGTTGTGTATTCTCATGCTTCTGTCCTCACAGCACACATCACATTGCAAGCTTTCTGTTTCTCACATCCTGTGGTTAAAATTACTATTAGTGCAAAGACAATTTTTATTCATTAAAAAATCATTCCAAAACAGATTATACATTTGTTTGACTTGTTTGCTGTTGAGCACAAATCACTGTCATTCAAAAAATAATAACCCACATTGAATTGTGCATTTCCTGTATACAAAATGGCTTCAAATACAAAAATAAAATAAAAGCCAGTTTCCTTTCATGAGAAAAAAGTTAGTTTTGCCTTTTGAACAATGTGTGTATTTTTCAGTTCCTATCACTAATTACAACTCATTTACATGCAACTGAAAGACAATGATGAGGGCATCAAATAAGTGTCTTCCTTGTGTGTTCATTGGCCCTGCTTCAGTGATTTCCATCACATGCTGTTTGGGTTGGTTAGTTTTTTGTCACTGTCCGGTAGTCAGGAAACAATTATAGACTGCAAATTGAATAAGTAAACTAATTAGAAAACTAATATGAAGAAAAGGAGAGTGAAAGAGAAGAGGTAAGTTGAATTCAGCTATGGGGGCATTGAAGAACAGACAGCACATTGTGGAACGAAGCCAGTCGTGCAGTCGGGCTAGGAACACACTGGCAGCATGGCATGTGCGTGGCGTCTGCGAACGTCTTAGTTTTCATTACAGTGCCTATGTTAATGGGTTAGAGCCATTAACATGATTAACATGATCTAGAGATTCGGCGTCTTGCCTATTTTTCACGCGTGGCGCATCTCCAGCAAAATTAGACAGATATGGCATAGATGTTTATAGTCATATTGACATCACACCAGCAACATTACATAACATTGACACCTTTCACTATAGTTGTCTCCGTCTTGGCTGAATCTGAACATGACAAAGACATGAAAAAAAATCTAAATATAGTTTTTAACCGTTTTAGTGGCTGCATGTGGAGACAGTGGCATTTTATAGACATCTTATATTCAAAAATAAATCGGAGATTAATTTATAATGACAAGAAATCCAACAT